TATCTTGTACTTTGTGAGAGAGGTCGGTTCTTGTTCTGGTCTGCACCGTTACGGTATGCAACAGTTTGGTATCGGAGCGGACCTCTCATTCAGAGGACCCCCTCAATCAAGTAGCCAGCTTGCTTGATCTATTGATTACTCATTAGTAAATCAAGTAGGACTTCGTCAAATCTCTGAATTTTTTTCTCGCAACAAATATCTGAAAATTTCTGATAATCGCATTTCGTTTTACCTGAAAATTTCTGATATTAGTATTTCGTTTTCACGCAACAAATATCTGAAAATTCTGATAATAGCATTTCGTTTTATCTGAAAATTCCTGATAGTATCATTTTGTTTCTCTGATATTTGCATACATAGCTGAAAATTTCTGATGTTAACATTTCGTTTTCTAGGCATATTAGGATAACGATAGAGGTGGTCATATTCTCGGAAACCGGATTTATTCTTTTCTGAAAATCGAATCTCCATTGTATCTCGCAAAATTTCTTTTTAAAACCGAAATCTTGCGAAGCCTACCAGCATTTCGTTTTAGGCATATTAGGAGGTTGCCATATTCTCAGAAACTGGACTTAGTTCTTTTCTGAAAATCGCATCTCTACTCTATTTCGCAAAATAAAAAAATTTCAAGATTGCATTTTTCAATGATTTTTGTGAAAGCCGAAATTTTGCGGAACCTGACCTAGATCTCGCTCATAGTACTCTTCTGACATACCTCACTCATAGCAGATCGACAGATATACAAAAAAAAAAAAAAAAGGGGGGGTGATCGTGATCCTCTTCTTTTATTTTATTTATTTATTTTAGTCTGTTGATTAGGACCGTTAGGGAAGTATAGCTGGGTTGGTTACCTACCTGCATTTTCCCTCCCACCCACCCCATTGCCTGCACTCCCGGGTTGGTACAGTGCCACGTCAGCAACAGTGCCACGTCAGCAGTGCCACGTCAGCAACAGTGCCACATCAGCAACAGTGCCACATCAGCAGTACCATGTCAGCAGCGCCACAGTGCCACATCAGCAACAGTGCCACGTCAGCAGTACCACGTCAACAGTGCCACAGTGCCACGTCAGCAGTGCCCCGCGACCATGACGGGCTCAGTTCTGGGCATGCCAGGCCAACTGGCCAATGAGTCCATTGCCGAGTACCGACAGCGTTTCGAAGCTCAGCTTGCACTGATCGAGGCTGAGGAACAGCGTCAGGCGGCAGCCGAGGCTGCCCGCCTACAAGCTGAAGCGGCGGCAACAGCTGAAAAGCAGCGGCTTCAAGCTGAAGCAGAAGCAGATACCCAGGCACGTCGCAAGGAGGCCCAGGATCTGTTACAGCGGCATGAAACCACCAGCATCGAAAAGCTCAAGTTCTGACATTTTGAACCATCTGAGCAGCATGACGACGCGACACCGGAAGAGCAGCACAAGGAGTTCCTGGCCAAACTCGTGACCCGGTTGGTTTACACTTGTAACCACCTGCAGTCCGAGCTGGCGAATCTCCGACGGGCGGTGCGGAACCACAAGGATCTGCACGAGGATGCTACACGGGCACTTGATTCCTGTGTACAGGACTTGGAGCAAGTTGCACGAAGACCAGATGCTGGCGAGTCCAGCAGTACACCCTCTACCCACCAATTGGAGGAACGAGTTGACCACGTCGTCGCAATGCTCGACGACATCAGCACCTTCGCTGCACCAGCCACCATCAGCAAGCAGTTGGACACCTTGAAGACCGAGGTTCAGCAACTGCACCAGCTGCCCAACAAGGATGGCAACACCACACAGCACTACAAGATGCCGACATTCCCCATCGAAAAGTCGATGATTATACGCATCAAGACCCGGTCCGCTGGTGGGAGGGCTTTACGATGGAACTTCGGATTCTTTTCGTCCCCGAGCACTCGTACATCGGCGCTCTGTTCCTCAACTCAAAGGGGGGATGCCAGATCTGGCTTAACCACCTGGCAGCCATCCACGGTGTCGATGTCGCCGATCTGCACACGAAGATTCCTTGGGCAGATCTGACGAAGCTATGGAAGAAGCGGTTCATCGTGGACGACGCCCCGGCGCTCGCCATCAACCGCCTCTTCGCTATGACGCAAGGCAACACATCGACACGCGACTGGCTCACGGAATGGAAAAAGATCGCGGCGACGCCCAATCTCGAATTGTCATTTTCGCATCTGCGTCGGGAGTTCTACAACTGGTCATGTGTCGCCTTGAGCCTTGCACTTGGTGATCGCGAGCAATACTCAACCTTCGCCGAAATCATCGACAAGGCAAGGGAGATCATCAAGACCAATAGGGCGGCTGCACACGAAAAGTCGGCATGGCAGCCAACCTATGTGGAGAAAGGAAAATTTGGTCCGCGTCCGCAGCATGTCGCTGCAGTCCACTCGGACAACATTGTGGAAGACCCGGCAGCCACACAAGCATCACGGGAGGGAGATCAGGTGGCTGCTGTCCAGCCGCGTAGCAACAACAACTCCCGAGGAAAAGGGAAGGCAAAAACCGCATCGTCGGCCGAAAACAGACAGCCAGCACCATGGGTCAAATTTCACTTGACCGAGGCCGAATACAAGTGGCGCGGCCGGTATGGCTGCTGCTATTGGTGCAACAGCACCAAGCACAAGACCTCCCAATGCCCGGATCAAGGCAAGGAGGATGTTCGGCCTCGCATCAACTCGGGAAACTGAGTTGCGCGGGCCGGTGTGGACTTGGCCTTTCGAGTACTTTAGCAGCTACGACCTTGACCTCTCAAGACTGTAGCAGCTACGACATTGACCTTTCAGGATCCCTACAGCTTCGACCTCTACAGGGCTGTGACTCCTACTCGACAGACCTACAGATCGAACCCCTACCACTACACAGACCTACGACAGAAAACAACAACTGTCAAAACACAGGTCACGGGTTCAAACACTCGGGGTCGACACAGATATTGTACACAGGTAAGGTGAGAACTAGGGATCGAGCCCTGGGATCTGCATTCGCTACTGCTAACAGGTGAAA